CCCGGGGAAGAAAGGTGCGAGAGCCGAGGGGTGGGGTGGCGGCTCCGGTGTCAGCGCGGGCGGGGCGTGAGGTGGGGGAGGGGTGGCCCTGGACCGAGGTGGGCAGGTCGACCCGGAGGGGAAGCAGGTGTTGGAAAGGAGCGGGATTGGCGTTGTCTGCCAGGGCCGCAGAGAGGATCTAGGAGGCTCGGACGTTGGAGCACGTCTATTCAGGATGAGTAGTAGGTGGGGAGGGCTGACTGTGGACGGGAAAAGAGGAGCCAGGAACCCACGTTGGCCAGCCTTGTCTTCTCCCTTGGATCCTTGCAACACAGTATTTGAGGGGTCCCACCCGAGATCCACACTCTGGGGGCTTCTCGTTGAATGATGATTCCATTACTAAATGTTACGAGTGATATGCAGGCGCTTTCCAGTTTACTTTTAACGTTTGAAAAGGCTGGGAGTATTTTTTAGGACAATAAAGGCCTACTTAGCCCTTCCGACTGAAGGAAGGCAAAACCAACATCATCATGTGTTCGGATCTTAAGGAATTTAAGTGTATTTTTAAGTGTAGTATAAAATCACCTAACTGCCCGCTAGAGAACCCTTAACGTGTAATAGAGAGCAGATTCTAAATGTATACTATTTCCTTGAACGTTTTCAGTATCTAAACCTTAACATTTAATTTTGTGGAGTCCATCTTCAGAACTTGTGATATTTACGTTAATAGAATGGGAAAACGCTAATTGCATCACATGACAATGAAACATATAAAGCATCTCCTTGTGTGAAAGAAATGAAGACAAAGACATAAAAGGAAAGAAAGTCCCTCTTGTGTGGTGGTATTTCATATTAAGTAGCAAAATGTGAATAATAATTGAGAACACTGAGTTGACAATAGAGAATTTCTTTATGAGTAAAAATTGTATCCTTTTCTACCTAAGATTCAGCAGTGTGGCATAAAGTTGAATGCCACAGTTTTTATAATAAATGGAACTTTTTATTTGTCATTGTTACTGTATTTTAACTTTCAAGCAGCAGTTAGATAATTGTAATACATGCCATCGTGATAATTGTAATAAAACACTAATTTGTAAGTGAAGGATTATCATTACAAGGAAGACTTCAAAAGTATTAGTTGCATTTTCTGCTAAATAAAGTGTTGGGAGATACGTGATATTACTCTTAATTCCAAAATTGTGTAATCTGAATATTAATACCAGTGCAGGGAGGCCGACATCTTCTTGGTAAGAACTTTTGCTCTGTGTCCCTGGGCAAGATATTAAATAGTTCTGAAGTTCCTTCTTTTATTTTTACATCTTATGAAGGTAAACTACAAGGTTGTTTGAGATCTTTAGTTTACTTAATGAATTTTGTGACAAGCTAGCTGTTAATAGAAAACTATAATATTATGTTGTCATAGAGTTCATAAGCTATTATCCTTTTAATTAATGAATTCTGCTTGACATTCTTAATTGTGTCTTGGACCATATTGTGTTTATTTTTTTAAAACGTTTAACCATATGAGTCCAGTAACTTGAAAATATATTTGATCCTGCATCCCTCCTTGTAAGTATGGAGAAGAGGTGGAGAAATATGAAAGGACTTCAAAAAGTTTGTAAAAAATGGATTTCAAGTAGAAATTTATTTTGAGGCAAAATATCTTAAATCCATGCATAGTTTCTTCATAATATGTGTTTAATATGAACTTTTTGAAGATACTGCACTACCCAGTATATTTTGTTTTCCAGGGTCTTGCCATTTAGTAAAATAGGTATATCAAATTATGGTTTAATTTAACTTAATAACCTCAGTTACATGGTAGTTGGTAAGATTCTGTTAGTGACAAGTAGTCCTGTGGCCAGAAGGGTCTTAGGACAAACTTAAACATTTTTATAGACCTTAATTCATGTAATTTTTTTTTTATCTTTGCCATATATAGCTTGATGATTTGTCAAAATCTAAAGCATTAAATGAATAGCTACAATTAAGTCTTAATAGTTATAATTAAGAATTCTTGATTTTTATTTTTTTGGAGATGACTATGAGTCTAGTCTTATGATGGACTCTGCTCTTGAGTAAGTTTTCATCCTCAACTGAAAAGTTGACCTTTTGGCTTTATTGGAAGGAGAAAAATACACACACAAAAGCAAAAGCACTTCAGTCACTGCTGCCATTTCCTGTAAATACTGCCATAGGATCTAGGTTGTAGAAGTCAGGGAGTGTCTTTTTCTCCTACTTCTCTTTCTTAGTCACAGTTGGGGGGAGCTGGGAAATAGGGCAGGATATAGTCAAGGGTATTTTGTCTTTATGCATCCTGGTTTTCATGCACTGTTAGGAATTACGCTTTCATTTTCCACATTGAGGGAGAAAAGTTAAATGAAAACAAAAGCAAGCTTTCGAATCCATCAAATTTCATTAATTGTTCTTCTAAAATCTTAGTATTGGTCTTATGACCCTTTTTAAAAAAAATATAGACAACTTCATACAGTAAATCAAATTGCAAGATATTACCTCAGTTAACAGAAATTATTTAGAAATAAATAATTTAGTTACGGTGATAGTATATATTGTGGAAATTGCCCAGAATACCTTCTTAGTTTCAACGCTTGTTGATCTTTCTGAACGGATCCTTTTCCAAGTGTTTTCAAATTATCAAGTCAGGGTGGACATTCATGCAGGGATTCCTATGTGATTTGGATTAGGTATATCTTCATTTCTAAAAAGTGTCTGGGGTGGTAATTTTTTTTTGTTTTGCCGATATTCCTCTCTTCTAGTGCACTAAGGGGACACTTGAGCTCCATTTGTTTGCTAATTTTCACTTCTGTCATTCTTCAAGATTTTTCCCTTTTCTTTGGGCAGGCTGCCTTTATGGGAAAGTTTTTTGTTAGTAACCAGGGTCACTTATAAATTCATTAAGCAGATATTTGTTGAATACCTACCTATTAAGTTCAAGATAAGTTGCCAAGTCTTACCAGGCTGTGTGTCTCAAAGGGCACTCTGTAGAAATAAGAATTAGTCTTTAAAAACCCCGAATGTTTCAGGGCCAAAATAGTTTGGGAAGCAGGCATAGTCTTTTCCATTGGAGAATTGCAGTATACCTTAGTATGTTATATAATAAATAAAATAAAAGAAGTAATTAAAAAAAAAAAGACTGTGAGAAGTCCATTTCCCAACTTTTTTTGAACACAAGACTTGTATTTTTTAGTGCTTATTAACTTAAATTTGTGAATTATGGGGGACCAGCAGGTGGCATGGTGGTTATGGTGCTGGACATTCCCACATGACTGACTGTGGTTCAAGTCCTGGACCTGGTGGCTTGCTTTCTCACTTTCCTCTCTATCTCTCTCTCTCTCTCTCTCTCTCTGTATCTTTCTCTGGTCAAAATAAAATAAGTTCATGAATAAATAAAATTAAAAATAAAGAATTCTTTAAAAAATTTTTTGAATTATAAGGTATATACTGAGAAAGATGTTGAATTAGTACAGATCCCACCCTTATCCTCAAATAGGAGCAAAGATAGTAGATACCCCTAGAGAGGGGGGCCTATGCCCACTTGACTCTTTATAGATAGGCCCGTTAATATAGTACAAATGATGCTATATAGATTTCCAGTTATATCAGGAAAGGTGATAACCTGGCCATCTTTTTTTTTTTTTTTTTTTGGAGAGATTTTCACTGTAGGGCGCGTGCGCTCGCCAGACAGACAGAGACAGACATAGAGACAGAAAGCGAGAAATCACCCCCCAGGGGGGATGGTCACGCCGCAATCCCTTCTCCTCCATTCTCCTCTTGGGATCTTGGGCACGCACGCACACGCGCCCGGCGTGAGTTTTAAGCCACTGGGTCCGGGACACGAACCGCAGTCGACTATGTGGGAGTCCAGCGACATAGCCATTACGCTAACTGCTGGTTCCCAACCTGGCCATCTTTTGATATTCCATTTTGGAATCCAAGAGAATGCCAAAAGAAAGCCCTTTGAAAGAACCAAGGCCCTTGATTCTTTAGCACCAGCTGAACTTCCAGTTAACAGTAAACATTTAACCATCTTGGAGGTGGATCTTCTCCCCAAGTTGAACAGCCATAGCTCATTTATGGAGAGCAGAGATTGGATTTCCTGAACCCTGCCTTAATTATATTTATGTGAACAAAATAATGATTCTTGTTATTTTAAGCCACTGAATGTTGAGATGGTTATTATGTAGCAATAGGTAACTAGAACAGAAGCTGATCAACATCTTATCTACATCAAGATCCAAAAGATTTTTGGTCTCTTCATGGGGAGGCCAGTAAAAAGTGGCTCTTAGCAGAGAGAATAGCAAAGGTAGAGGCAGATGCTTTGAGTAATGGGTTTTATCCTCAAGTATTTTATGCTCCAAGTTGACCGGTGAGTCAAGCCAACTTGGGCATGGACTTTTGGAATGAGTGAGTCCTTAACTTGAGAACACTTTATAGACCATGGTTTGAGTCCTGGAGCAGGCTGCTTGCTTTCTCACTTTCTCTTCCTCTCTCTCTTTCTCTTTCTCTCTCACTCTGTCTCTCTCAGGTCAAATTTAAATATATAAATTAAGATAAATAAAAATAATTCTTATTAAAAAATCCATTTTGTTAGACTGAGACAAAACAAAGCATTTTGTAGTGCTTTTCAAAAAAATTTTAATAAATGTAACTCATTTATTTACAGAAAACATACAAAGAATATCATGAAAATAAAATCAAATAGGGTTAGACAGAAGAGGCCAAGTGTAGTAAAATTCATTCAGTTACAGAATTGCATTAGCTCATATTTGGTTTCTATTAGAATCTTGGATTGATAGTGCTGTGTAATGTGTGTTCTTTATTTCTTTTTTTGAAGTAGTGGGTCCTACCTTTTTGATTTTGGATTATAAATCAGGGCATGATTTTCAAGATCTTCTGCAGGATATTCAGCCATGGCCTCAACTAGCTCGTGTTTTGGTGTGCTCAGCAATGTTGTATTGGCCTGGAAAGTAAGAGAGGTTTATGACAGAGCCTGTCCTTTCAGTTTAAGTGTGGAATAAAGAATAAAACTTACAAAAATGATTACAAAGCAATACATGACAAAATCTCAGTTAGTAATATATTGTTCTGTCTTGGAATTTGAAGTTTTAAGCCTCATAGGCATTTAAAGTAGATAAATGAGTATAAATCAGGTAGAGAAGAAATGGGGACTGAGCCAGGCTTTGAGAAATTCCAAAGTGGTGTTTGAATTGTTGGAGGAGAAAGGGCATCTTTGTGGGGTGAGTTACCTGTACACAGTTTAGGAAACAAGAGTAGCATGGGTTTGAATAGAAGCCTACAATAGGCTGGTGGAGGTGTTGCTGGTCATTTTGGGCTACAGAAAAACTGGGGTCAGTGATGCAAAAGATAAAAGGTAGATACAGAGTGTGAACTTAAAGTGTAGAACTTGCATAGAAAATTTCTGACTAAAAGGAAGCAGTGTTTTAAAGATTTGTTTAGCAGTGGTATGTGTAATAAATTTAAGGAAAGTGTATTAAAGGCAGTATTGAACCCATAGGTTAGTTTGCTTTATTTGACAGGGTATAGAAATATCTTTCTCTGAAATCTTCTGGTCATCATCTTATTGTTTTGCCTAGGCAGGGGAAAAAAATATTCTAGTGTTCTTTGAGTTTGTGGGTAGTTCTAACACATTCATTGGATCTATTTTTGGGAATGGTGATTTAAGAAAATACAAAAGTTTAGTTGCGTTTTCTCCAAGAAACAATGTTAAATTAGGGATTTACCTTACTGTCCAAGGGATTTTTAGTAGAAATGATCACAGAAACCATGCTTTATCTTATGGTGGAATGTCAAGCTAATTTGTAAAAAATAAGAAATAAATTTAACTGAAAAACACAGTAACCAAGTATGTAAAGTCATATTTAATATGATAATATTTCAGTGCATAGTTCTTAGGTTTTTATTTTTGTTTTGGAATTTTGCTTTAAAAAATAGTTGTACATTTAATTATAACATTTATTAGGAAGCAGTGTAACTAGCACCTCAAACCTGGATTTTCAGATATTATTGCTTAAAAAATTTTAAATTGGGGCCAGCAGGTGGCATGGTAGTTAAGGTGCTGGACTCCCACATGCCTGACCACAGTTTTAGTCCCAGACCTGATAATTTGCTTTCTCACTTTCCCTGTCTCTGGATCTGTTCCTCTCTAGTCAAATTAAAAATAATATAATAATAATAATAAATAAAATTAATTTTAAAAATTTAAATCGATTTATTGGTAATTTATTTTAATGTGTATATATTTATTTTATAATTTCCTGTTTACATTTAATTGTTGTATGTCTCTGTAGGATACACTTTTTTTTAAGAGAGTTTCTTTGCTATAGTGTGTGTGTGCTCATTGGAAAGACAAAAAGAAAGTGAGAAATCGCCCCCTAGCGGGGATAGCTACACTGCAGTCCTTTCTCCTCCACTTTCCTCTCAGGATTTTGGACATGTATGCACATGTGCCCAGTGTGATTTTCAAGCTGCCGGATCTAGAACTTGAACTGCCTTTGCCATGAAGCCCAATGCCTCAAACACCATGTCACCTGCTGGCTCCTACACTATGTTTTTCAAAGCATGCATGCAATATTTGATGATAAAATCAAAGATATTACCATATCCACTGTCTTCAACAAAGAATACTATGTTGTGCACCTTAGTGTTTTCTTTCTTTCTTTCTTTTTTTTAAATTTCCAGACGGTATTTTCACTTGCCAGAGGGACAGGGGTAAAAGAACCCTCCATTCTTGGTGCACAACCATGCTGCAGTCCCTTCTCTTCCATTTCTTCTACCTGTCAAGATTTGGGGAATGCATGTGCATGTGTCCAGCATTGTTTTTAGGCCTCTGGTTCAAACCATGGTTTGCCATGTGGTATCTGGCTCCCTTCACTACTACTCTGTAGAACTGATATGGTTATTTTTGCTACTAGTTACTATGGTAAAAAAAGAAAGTGAAGATAGATCTTTGCCTGATTAATGAAAATTTTAAAGACATTATTTACAAGCATTTTTATTTTTTCAAGAATTATTTAATTATTTATCATTATTATTTTTAAATTTGCTACCAGGCACACATGCTCACCAGAAAGAGT